GGCACCGAGGCCGCAACTCCAGTCGCCCGGGGCCGGGCCCCCCGCGGCCCTGGACCGCCCTCACCTGCGGCCTGAGGCTCAGGGAGGGACAGGTATCTGAAGGATGCTTCAGGCCCGGACACTTGAAGCCACTGACACCCGCAGCCCCTCCCTCTCCACCCAAAGAGCGTGCGCGGAGCCGGGAGTCCCTCCCCTTCCCGCCAATCACCACACAAGAAGGAACACATGCGTATTAGCTGCCCGGCGCCCCAATCGTCTTCTCTCCCCAGCTCCCGGATCCACCTTTTGCCTTAACAAAAAGACATTGGCATCCAATCAGAATTGAGGTCGTTGTGGGCGGGTCCTGGAAGGGCAACAGCCAATGAGAGCACAGAAGAGAAGTTAAACGTGAGAAAGCGGATCCCGGCGCCGCGTCGCTCCGGCTCGGCGGGAGCCTGAAGCTTGAGGTCACAAATCCAGCCTGGAAAATTCTGGCCGCCGTCAGAGGGAGGCTGGCGGAGAGAAATCCCTGGCGCGAGAGAAATGCAAATGTAAGAAAGGAGCATTTGTGGACATAACAGATAAAGAAAGCCAATGCGGTTCCGTGACCCCTCCATTCTGAAAGCAGACTTTTCCATATATTTTTTTTATTTCTGAAGTGGGAAAGCCCCTAACCGTACCTCTAGTAGATTGTTCCTCTCCGCAACCCCTCCGAATACGTAGTGCACCTGACCACTTAATAATATTTTAGAGTTGAGAAAATACCTTGGTATATCGCGCTTCCTCTCGCCGTGTTGCATGTTGATCCTCACAACCACCCACAGGAAAACTGCAGCTCGGGAGCAAATGTCTCGCTCAGGGTCGTGCACGCCTTGTGACATGCTGTGTGCCAGGCCGATACCATTCATGGACACCTAGCCCTCGGCACGGAGCAGGTCCCGTTTGTTTTCAGTATTTGCTGAGTACGAGGTAGTAATCCGTCCTCTTGACTCTGTCACGTTCTCCTGGGTGACAGGGCTGAGCCTCATGACCCCGTTTCTTGGCTTTTTGCTTCGGGTACAGTTTCCCTTAGTCCTTTTAAGGACTCTCTAAAAATATGTGTTTTTAAAGTGTACATTTTGGTAGTGTGAAGTATATTCACATTGTTCTTCAATTACCAGAATTATTTTCCTTTTGCAAAACTGAAACTCTGTACCCATTAAACAAACAGCAGTTCCCCGCTTAGCTCTCCCGCAGCGCCCGGCAACCACCATTCTCTCTATGAAGGCGATATTTAAGGTACTGCGTGTAAGTGGAATCACTTGGTATTTGTCTTTTTGTGACTCATTTATTTCACTTAGCATAACTTATTCAAGTTTCATCCGTGTTGTAGCATGTGTCAGGATTTCCTTCCTTTTTAGGGCTGAATAATTTTCTATCCTAGTATGTATGTTGTTTATCCATTCATCTGTCAGTGCACACTTGGGTTGCTTTCACCTTTTAAATATTATGAATGCTATGAACATGGTGTATGCAAATATCTCTTTGAGAGCCCACCTCTGATTCTTTCAGGTATATATCCAGAAGAGTAATTACTGGATCATGTGGTAATTATTTTAAAAACGTGGTATTGACACAAGAATAGAGTACCTGTACCTATAAGCTGGTATACAATAAAGGTGTCTTATAAGGGATATGTGTCGGTGAGGTTGTAGGAAAGACCTATTCATTATTGTTGGGAGTGTAAATGGTACAATAACTTTAATTGGCTTTGGAAAAGAAAAAATATGGTAGTTCTAGTTAAATTGGCTATTCAAATAAAAATATGAAATTAAATCCTGATCTCACACTACAAATAAAACTAAATTCCAAGTGAAGTGAATGTAAAATGTGGAAAACAAAACTAAACTTTTAGAAAATAGGTATCTTGAGGACATCACCATAGGGGAGAATTTGCTAAACCAGCCAAAAGAGTTGCCATTCATTAAGGAAAATATTTTAAACTTACATTATTTTATAAACACAAGAGCTAAAAGGTTTAAAACCCAAAGAGAAAACATTTTTAATCAAGTTAAAAACAAACCACAAGCTGGAAGACTCTGAAAATATAGAGAACTCTGACAATTCAAGATTAAAAAAAAAAAATCAAATAACATAAATAGGCAACTGAAAGAAGAGTAAAATGAATGGCCAGGAAGATTTTTATTAATGTTTACCTTTGTGAGCAATCATGGAAATTCATATTAAAAAAAGATAAAAGGGTCGGTTTATTAAGATGCAAAATCCTAATAGTGCTATAAAATAGCATTGAAGCAAAAACTGATAGAACTGAAATAAGAAACTAACCCATGAGTGTGGTTGGAGAGCTCATCACTCCCCTCTCTCTAATTTGTAAACGAGCATACAGAAAATCAGTAAAGATACAGAACGCAGATCCCAAACTTGGCTGCATATTAGAATCACCTGGGAATCTCTTAATAATTTCAAAGAACAGGCTACACCCCAACAGAGCTAAAACCAATCATATTGAAAAACTATGAAATAAAAAAACCAACAACAATGAAACCAAAATGTGGTTCTTTTAAAGGAACAATAAAATTAAGAGCTCTGAGTAGATGTATCTTTGTAAAAAATGAGAGAAAACATCATAAATTACAGATAGCAAGAATGAAAAAGAAGACATCACTATAGATCCTATAGGCATTAAAAGGCTAATAGAATATTACGAACAACCTTATGCCAATAAATTTGATAATTTAGGTGAAATGGACAAAGCCCTTGAAAGAAAAAAGTACAAAAGCTCACTCAAGAAGAATAGATATGAATAACTAGCTCTATATCTATAAAATGCCATTACTAGGTTAACCTTCCCACAAATACTCCACATCCCAATGAATTCACTGGTAATTTCTTCCAAATGTTTCGAGAAATTATATCAATTCTATACAAACTTCCAGAAAATAAAATAGGAAAGAACACTTTTCAACTCATTTTATGAGAACAGCATTACCCGAATACCAAACAAACAAACAAAAAACATTAAAAGAAATACAATTGAATACAGATACAAACATCCTTAACAAATTATTAGGATACAATTATCAGGATACAATACAATACAACAATTGCTCCTAGACATAATGCCTGGACAATTGTGTTTCTGGCCCCATGAGTTTCACTTCTCTCAATGATTATGGTCTAAAACTGATTCTATGGGGAAGGCTAGGGGGTGGAGCAGATGCAAGGTGGAGGGAATCAATGGGGGTAAAAAAGGGGGACATCTGCAATACTTTCAACAATAAAGATAAATTTTAATATAAATAAAATAAAATAAATCTTATTCTAAAATTCATATAGGAAAGCAAACACTCTAGAATAGCCCAAACAATTTTGTAAAAGAACCACAAAGTTAGAGAACTTATACTACCTTATGTCAAGTCTCATTATAAAGTTAAAGCAATGAAATAAATGGAGTATTGATACAAAAATAGATACATATAAAAATGAAACAATAGAATCTAGGAATGAACTCACACATAATATGATCAATTGATTTTCACAATGGTATCAAGGATTTTTTTTTTTTTCAACAAATGGTGCTGGAAAAACTGGATATTGTATTGGGGAAAAAATGAACCTCAACACCTACCTTATAGCATTTGCGAAAATGTTAATTCAAAATGGATCATAGACTGAAACATAAAAGCTAAAACTATAAATCTTCTAGAATAAGACAGAGAAGAAAATCTTTGTCCCTTTAGAATTGGCAAAATATGACAAAGGTCTCAAAAAACAATAACTATGACAGAAAAAAATTATTAATTAAATTTTATAAAAATTAAAAAATTCTGCTCTTTGAAAGAAACCATTGGGGAAATGAAAAGATAATCTATGGACTGGGATAATATATACACCATCTAATAAAGGGCTTGAATTAAGACTATCTAAGAACGTTTTCAATTAGTAGTAGGAAAGCATCACAGTAAAATTACAGAACACTAGGCAGCAATAAAAATGGACAACTGCTAATATGAATGAATCTGAACTATGTTATACTGAGTGAAAATAGCCAGACAGGAAATGTACAGACTATATGATTTTATTAATATAAAATTTTAGAGCAAGCAACACTTATCTATTGTCATGGAAGTCAGATCAGTGGTTGCCTGGGGTGGAAGATGAGTGGGGGGTTGACTGTGAAGGGATATGGGGGAACTTTCTGGTGTAATGGAAATGCTCTATAATATGATTGAAGTAGTTACACAGTATATACTATTGTCAAAAGTCATCTCCTATAACTTAAAATGCATGTATTTGATTATATATTAGATTTCTGCAATAAAACTGATGTTTTTAAATTAGAAAAGACTATCCAGGATTTCTTTAGGGTTTGAAATATGCTAGGCATGTTACATGTGTTATTTTACTCGGTCTTCAAATGATCCAGTGATCTAGGTATTATCAATCCCATTTTATAGATGAGAAAATCAAGACCCAAAGAATGTCTTGTCTAATATGATATAGCTAGTGATAGGCTGAATTCAAACCTATATTTTTATCTGTAAAATGAGTATCAAAATACCTATTTTATTGAATTGTTATTAGGATTGTTAAACTTAAGTAAAAATAAAGCACTGCAAAGACTTTCCAAATTGAAATGACTTTGGAACCACAGCCCTAAGAAGATGGGTTGGAACTTGCAGCCTCAACCTAACCAACTCCAGTTTCTACTAAAACAAAAATATCAACATTCTTTATAGGACTGAAACAAGACCCAGAGGCTTGTTTAAGAGTCAAAATATCCAGGATCCAATCCACAGTTACTCAGTTTATGAAAAACCATAAAAGTCTCAACTCACATGAAAATAACAATCAATAGATACCAACACTAAAATAGCACAAATGTTGAAATTATCTGGAAAATATTTTGCAGCTATTAAGAAATACTTGAACAAATGATCACGAAAAATCCTGAAACAGAAGTTATAATTGAAAGTATAAGCAACATAATAGAAGCTATAAATAACAACCAAATGGAAATCTTATGTCTGAAAAAGAAAATAATTGAAATTAAAAACTGCCTGCGAAGACTCAATGGCAGGATGGAGATGAAAGCGGGAAGAGCAAACTTGAGGATGCCTCAGTAGAACTCATCCAATCTGAGCAACAGAGAGAAAAGTCATTGGGGAACAAACACCCCAAAACCTCGGGAATGAGAGACCACAAAAAAGATCTAGCATTTGTGTCATCAGAGTTCCAGAAAGAAAGGAAAGAGGGTATGGGACTGAGATACAGGGGTGGGCAAACGTACGTTCACAGTTGCGAGTACGTGAAACGTTTTATTCCTTTGAGTTAACAAAGCTATTACCATAATCATAACTTGCATGTCTTTTTCCATATGAACAGCTGTAAATGTCCTTCTGCCCACCCCTGCACATTTGAAGAAATTATGGCTCTCCAAGTTTGGGGAAATACAATTTCACAAGGGGAGGGGGAGATAGGAAATGTCTAAAAGGCGCTGTGGGTGGGGTGTAAAGAAGAAGACTTTTGAGAGACTTTGATCTGGACACTGAGCACCAACATCACCAACATCACAAAGAGAACCCCCGATAGTGCGGCACTTTCTGAAGGAAGAAGGTTGCACCACCATCTATGAAATAGTCTTGCCAGGGGGAAAAAACAAAAAAGGAAAAAACCCTGCAACCTGACCCGGTCAAACCCCCAAAGTGGTACCCTTACACAAAACCCAGAGGGCCGAGATATATATTAAATCTACCTCCTGGATAAAATTAGCAAAATCTGGCTATGGAACAAAACAACAAGACGAAAACAAGAAAAAACAAAGACCTTTCCTTTAACAAAAAGAAAATAATTTGCA